TAGCCAGAAGGAAACAATTCAAATATATGGAGTCACAGTCAGGATAACACAAGATTTAGCAGCTTCTACATTAAAGAATCAGAGGGCTTGGAATATGATATTTTGGAGAGCAAAGAAGCTAGGATTACAATCAAGAATCACCTACCCAGCAAAACTGAGTATAATCCTTCAGGGGAAAAAAACGTAAATTTAATGAAATTCAAGCATTTGTGATGAAAAGACCAGAGATGAATAGAAAATTTGATTTTCAAATACAGAACTCAAGAGAAGCTTTAGGGAAACTGGAAAGAGAAGTCAAAAGGGATTCAGTAAGGTTAGACTGTTTACCTTCTTACATGGGAAGCTACTAAGAACTTTCTTATTATTAGGACAGTTAGAGGGAGTGCGCATAGAGGGCATATATGTAAGTTGACTTCAATGGGATGATATCCAAACAAGTAAAAATAAGGGGTAAGAAAAAGGGATGTACTTGGAGAAAGGGGAAGGGAGAAGTAAAATGGGGTAAATTATCTCACATAAAAGAGGCACAAAAGAGCTTTTAGAGTGAAGGGGAAGATGGGGGAGGTGGCAAGCAACACTTGAACCTTACTCTCATTTGAATTGGCTTAAAAGAGGAAATAGCATACACACTCAATTGGGTATCAAAATCTGTCTTACCCTATAGGAAAGTAGGAGAGAAAGGGCATAAGAGATAGAAGAGACAGTAGATTGGGGGAGGTGGTGGTCAGAAGCAAAATGTGTTTGAGGAGGAACAGGGTGAAAGGAGAAAGAGAAAAAGATAAATGAGAAAAAAGCAGGATGGAGGGAAATATACAATAATCATAACTGTGAATGTGAATGGGGATGAATTCACCCAGAAAAGAGAATTAGATAACAGAGTAGATAAAAAATCAGAGTCCTACAATATATTGCTTACAAGAAATACACTTGAAGTAGAGAGATGCACATAGAGTAAAGGTAAGGGGCTGGAGCAGAATCTATTTTGCTTCAGCTGAAATAAAAAAAAAAAAGCAGGGATAGCAATCATGATCCTCAGACAAAGCAAAAGCAAAAATAGATCTTATTGAAAGAGACAAGGAAAGAAACTATGTCTTGCTAAAAGGTACCATAGACTATGAAGTAGTATCAGTACCAAATAAATATGTACCAAGTGACATAAAATCCAAATTCTTTAGGGAAAAGTTAAATGAGTTAGTTACAGGAGGAAATAGACAGTAAAACTATACAAGTGGAAGGGCCTTGACTTTTCCCTCTCGGAATTAGATTTTTATTTTTTTAGAACTAGATAAATCTAACAAAAATAGAAAAGAAAGAAGTTAAGGAGGTGAATAGAATTTTAGGAAAGTTAAATATGATAGCCCTCTGGAGAAAATTGCATGGGGACAGAAAGGAATATACCTTTTTCTTAGTGGTACATGGCACCTACACAAAAATTGACTGCGTATTAAGGCATAAAACCCTCACAAACAAATGCAGAAAAGCAGAAATGTTCAATGCATCCTTTTCAGATCATAATGCAATAAAAAAAATTGTATTCAATAAAGGACTGTGGAAACATAGATTAAAAATTAATTGGAAGTTAAATAATCTAAACCTAAAGAACAAGTGGGTCAAAGAATAAATCGTAGAAACAATAATTTCAAAGATACAGCATACCAAAATTTTTGGGTGCAGACAAAGCAATACTTAGGGGAAACTATATTTCTAAATGCTTACATCAATAAAATAGAGAAAGAACAGATCAATGAACTGGGCATGCAACTAAAAAAAGTAGAAAAAGAACAAATTTAAAATTCTCAGTTAAACACCAAATTAAAAATCCTGAAAACTAAAGGAGAGAGTAATAAAATTGAAAGTAAGAAAACCATTGAACTAATAAATAAAACTAGGAGCTGATTTTATGGGGGGAAATAGATAAAGCATTGGTTAACATGATTTTTTAAAAAAGAAAGAAGAAAACCAATTTACTAGTATCAAAAATGAAAAGGATGAATTCACCACCAACGAAGAGGAAATTAAAGTGATTATTAGCAGCTATTTTTGCCAAATTATATGCTAATAAATCTAACAATTTAAGTAAAATTTATGAATATTTACAAAAAAATAAATTGCCCAGATTAACAGAAGAGGAAGTAGAATGCTTAAATAACCTTATCTTAGAAAAAGAAATTAAACAAGCCATCAATGATCTCTCTAAGAAAAAATCCCTAGGGCCAGATGGTTTTAGAAGTGAATTCTACCAAACATTTAGGAACAATTAATTCCAATACTATAAAAAATTTGGAAACAATAGGCAAAGGACTCCTACCAAATTCCTTTTATGACACAAATACTGATACGTAAAGCAGGAAGAGCCAGAACAGAGAAAGAAAACTATTGACCAATTTTCTTAATGAATATTGATGTAAAAGTTTTAAAATAAAATGGTAGCAAAGAGATTACTGCAATATATCAAAAAGATCATACATCATTACCAGGTGGGATTTATACCTTGAATTCTGGGCTGGCTTTTGACAAAATGCAGCACTCATTCCTATTAAAAACACTAGAAAGCACAGGAATAAATGGAGCTTTCCTTGAAATGATAAATGGTTATCTATTTAAAACCATTAGCAAGTATTATCTGTAATGGAGATAAGCTAGCCTTCCCAATAAGCTCAGAGGTGAAGCAAGGGTGCCCATTATCACCACTATTACTTCCCAATAAGCTCAGAGGTGAAGCAAGGGTGCCCATTATCACCACTATTATTCAACAATGTACCAGAAATGCTAGCCATAACAATAAGAGAAGAAAAAGAAATTGAAGGAATTAAAATAGGAAATGAAGAAATAAAACTATCATTCTTTGTAGATGATATATGGTATACTTAGAGAATCCTAAAGAATCAAATAAAAAACTAGTTGAAATAATTAAAAACTTTAGCAAAGTTGTAGGATATAAAATAAACCCACATAAATCATTAGCATTTCTATATATTATCAACAAAGTCCAAAAGCAAGAGATAGAGAAATTCCATTTAAAATAACCACAGACTGTATAAAATACTTGGGAGTCTATCCGCCAAGACAAACCCAGAAACTATATGAACACAATGACAAAATACTTTTAACACAAATAAAGTCAGATCTGAAAAAAAATGGAAAAATATCAATTGTTCATGGATAGGCCAAGCCAACATAATAAAAATGACAATTCTACCCAAATTACTTATTCAGTGTCATACAAGTCAAACTACCAAAAAATATTTCATAGAGCTAGAAAAAAAAATAACAAAATTCATCTGGAAGAACAAAAGGTCAAGAATATGAAGGAAATTAATGGAAAAAAAAAACTGAGGGAAGATGGCCTAGCTGTATCAGATCTGTTACAAAGTGGTAATTATCAAAACTATCTGGTACTGGCTAAGAAATGGAGAGGTGGAACTTATTTAGTATGCAAGACACAGTAGTAAGTGACCATAGTAATCTAGTGTTTGATAATCAAAGGTCCAAGTTTTGGGGACAAGAGCTCATTTTTTGACAAAAACTGCTGAGAAAACTGGAAATCATTTCAGCAAAGCTAGGTATAGACCAACATCTCACACCATATACCAAGATAAGGTCAAAATGGATACATGATTTAGACACAAAGGGTGATTAGGGGAGCATGGAATAGTTTACCTGTGAGATCTACATATAAGGGAAGAATTTATGAACAAACAAAAGAGAGAGCATTACTAGATATAAAATGGATAATTTTGATCACATTAAATTAAAAAGGTTTTGCACAAGTTAAACAAATACAGCCAAGATTAGAAGGAAAGCAGAAAACTGGGGGAAATTTTTTATAGTTTATCTCTCTGATAAAGACCTCATTTCTCAAATATATAGATAACTAAGTCAAATTTGTGAGAATAAAAGTCATTTCCCCAATGGGTAAATGGTCTGAGAATGTGAACAGGCAGTTTTCAGAAGAAGAAATCAAAACTATATAGTCATATGAAAAAATGCTCTAAATCACTATTGATTAGAGAAATACAAATTAAAACACCTGTCAGATTGGCAAACATGACACAAAAGGAAAATCACAAGTTTTGGAAGGAATGTGGGAAAATTGAGACACTAATGCACTGTTCATGGAATTGCAAATTGATCCAATCTTTCTGGAGAGGAATTTAGAACTATGTCCTAAGGACTATAAAACTGCATACCCTTTGCTCCAGCAATATTACTACCAGGATCTATATCCCAAAGATAGTTAAAAAGAAAAAAAAAAAGGAAAAGGACCTATATGTACAAAATATTTATAGAAACTCTTTTTGTGGTGGCAAAGAATTGGAAATTGAGAAGATATCCATCCATTGGGGAATGGCCGAACAAGTTGTGGTACATAATTATGATAGAATACTATTGTACTATAAGAAATGATGAGTAGGATGCTTTCAGAAAACATGAAAAGACTTACACGAACTAATGCAAAGTGAAGTGAGTAGAACCAAGAGAACATTGTACACATTAAAGCAGTATTGTACAATGATGAACTGTGAATGACTTAGCTTTTCTTTGCAATACAATTACCTAGAAAATTCCAAAGGACTCATGATGAAAATTGCCATCTACCTCCAGAGAAAGAACTGATGGAGTCTGAATGCAGATTAAAACATACTGTTTTTTATTTTTCTTGTTTTGTTTTTATTTTGGTCTGTGTTTTCTTTCACATGATTAATATGGAATTATATTTTGGTGACTGCACATGGATACCTATATCAAATTGCTTGCCTTCTTAATGAAGGGGGAGGGGCGGGAGAGAGGGAAAGAATATATTACTCGAATTTCAAAAACAAATATTATAAATTGTTTTTACATGCAATTACAAAAAAATTTTTTTTAAAAAAGGATGTTCCCTAAAGGGGAAAAGACATCAAAAGCAAAACTTTTACATAGGGGTTGGTACACAGTGAATTTTGCTTGAGGATTTCTAACCTGCTTTATTGACTCTTTTCTCTGTCTTCATCTTTTAGATCAAAAAGAGATATAATATTAAACTTAATTATCCAGTACCCTTGGTCATCCACAAAAAGGAGCCAGACCATCCTTTGAAAGCTGTGTGCTTCAAACATGTGGTTCAATGGTCACTCCCAGAGAAGGTGGAAAAGAAAAAAGAATTTGAAATATTCAAGGCACTTGAGTATGTGACAAATATATTATTACAACATTCTCCAGGGTGACATTATATGGGCAGAATGTTTCTCTCTTCTTCTTAATGTGGTGTGGTCCACCAGAATATTTGTGTCAACTGTTTGACTTACGCTATTTATGGACATTTCCCCTAGAAAAATATAGCTTTGTTTCATTGTTTTGTTTTGTTTTTAAAAGAGCTTTATTCTCCTTCAGAAAGAGTCAGGCTTTTAAAAATTCAAAAATAAATATTATAAAACCAACCCCCTTTTTGTGTAAGTATATATGGGGAATGACAAGAATTGGAGGTAGGAAAGAATTATTTACCTCTACTTTATTTATGCCCCAAATAGTTTTTTTTTAAAAAAGCCCCAGAGAGGAAGTTGGCACTTCCACAATGAGTAATGATTGAGAAAGACCATATAAATGTAGCCTTGGTAGTTCTTTAAGGAACCAATGCTCCTTGGATTTCTCTAAAGAGTTCTAAATGGGCACAGCTTCCTTTTCCCAGAAGCTAGTCCTCCACATGGAGTCCTAAGTAGGGGTGGAGGTGTGTGGAAGAATGATAAGCAAAACAGGATCACAGTGCAGGGAGAGGATGGTGAAAGAGATAGTAAGAGGGTACTAGTGGATTGCCCTTCATGAAAAGAAAAGTAGAATGGGACTTGGACATAGAATATTTGGGTTGGTTGTACAACCCAGAAGAGCTTATTGCTTCCTAATATAGCTCCCTAATTTTTTAGGAAACAGAAGGACAAGGTAGAGGCCATTTGGCGAACTGATGTGTCCTCCTCCAGTTACCCAATAGAAACAAAAACACCTATGAAATTACTCTGGGATCAGGTTGGTGGGTATCCAGATATTCCCAGACTGCTGGAATTAGATATCCATTCTACCTTCAGGAAATCTCTTGCATCTATTCAATCAAGGTAAGTACCTGACTAGAGGGTTTGGATCTGGGCAGTTGAGCTGGTTGGTTGGTTGGCACTTGAATATGTTGGGTTTTTCCTAGTCTTTGTAACTTCATTCCCCCTTACTCATGTACCCTGGAGCTGCTACTGGAAAGTACTGGAAAGAAGCAGGTGGGATTTGTTGATAATTTTTCTCTCCCTGGACTGAGAGGCTGTCATTAAGTTGTTAGCTGAAAACTGAATTCAAGGCAGGTTTCTAGTGTTTCTCTATATTGTCCTGTAGATGTCACAATTTAGCAATACAAGATTTTAAAATTCTCCCTTAGAGGCCTATCTAGTCACAAAGTCAAATTACACTGAAGACCTTTTTTAGGGAGCTTATTACTGAAAATAGCAGAAGGACAGCATCATTTTTTTTCACTGTATCTCATGGCCCAATGCCCTGGAGCCAAGAACAAGGAAGTGTGTTTTCGAGAGGACCCACAGTACTTTGCCCTCATTAGGTCTGATACAGAGTATTGTACTCAGTCTTGGATGCCATAATGAAAAGCTGGGGTGTATGCAGTGGAGGGGCCCTGAGTCTATGTCATATGAGGATCAGTTAATGGGGCTGGGAACGTTTAGCCTAAAATAGAGAACTTGGGTGTTCTGACTGACTCCCAGTCAGCTGAGATTTCCAAACATTTATTAGCCAATGAGTGTATTTTATGTGTGATAAAAAGATGAATAAGGTACATAGCCTACCTAGTAGGGAAAACAAGACACATATGCATATTAATACATATTATAATGTAACGTTTTAAAGGTAAGTTAGCCAGTCACTCAGTAAATGTTTGCCTATAAACAAGAAACATTGCCTATGAAGGCCATGTTCCAAGCAAAACCAGGCTCTAGATGATATCTTGCCAAAGGTAGAGATCAAATGGAGGAGAATGACAATGTCATTGAAAGGGTGTTCCCTAAAGGGAAGAAGATATCAAAAGTCAATAAACATTTATTAAGTATCTCCTATGTGAAAGGTACCATGTTAAGACTTGAGATGTTAGAAAAATGGTTCAGGGTGCTATGGGAAAGATCTTTTCTGTCTGGAGTTATTAGAAAAGGCTTTCTAGGGAGGCGATACTGTCCTGGAAAGAGCAGTCAGTCAGAGGACCTAAGTTCAGTACCAGTTCTGCTGCTTACTCCCAGTTTCCACAGATGATTCGCTCAGAATAGAGTTCTAAAGGTCACTGATTCAAGGCCTGCTAATATCATCTGAGTGGGAAACTCCTAGCTGACTGATTTCTTGTGTTAACATAGGCTTGCCATTGACAGAACAGTATGTGGATCTAATAGGTTGCCTAAATTAGAACACAGAAACTCCCTAATCAAGACTTCCAATGCTGCTGCTCTTATTCAAGTACAAATGTGGTCAATATGCACATACTATAATGCTAATGAGAATGCCTCAAGACCATAGGATTTAGAGTTTGAACTTGTATAGGTCTATTTTTCATCTGTAAAATGAGGGAGTTGGACCAAATAATTTCTAAGGTTCCTTCTAGCTAGCTGGCACAGTGGATGGAGTGCCAGTGAGTTCAACTCTTGCCTCAGACACTGGCTAGCTGTGTGACCCTGGGCAAGTCACTTAACCCTGTTTGCCTCAGTTACCTTATCTGCAAAATGAGTAGGAGAAGGAAATGGAAAACCACTCCAGTATCTTTGCCAAGGAAACCCCAAATAGGTCACAAAGAGTTGGACGCGACTAAAACAAGTGAACAATAGCGATCCATCTCTAAATCCTGTGATCTTAGAAACCACAAGGTGGCCCTTGAACTAGGTGGATAGAATTTCAGCAAAGATGGACATTCCAAGAAGAGAGAGTAGCATAAACTAGAATAATATCATTTTCAAAGTGCTTTGCATACATAATCTCATTTGAGTTTCATAACCGCCTTCTGAGAGTCTGGGGTATGGAACAACAAGCAGTCTTCATTTTCTAGAGCAGAAGGTATGTGGAGGAGAGGGTAGTGGGAGACAAGACTGGAAAGGTAGGTTGAGGCGAGGTGGTTCAGGGCTCATTCAACTCAACAAACACTTTGATTCGATGTTTATTATATATTTACTTTGTGGATGGCACCATACTAAGGTATGACGTACAAAGATACTCATTGTAATTTAAGATTGTCCCTCACCAAGGGAGAGATAGCTAAGGAATGCAATGGATGACAGGATTCAAAAACAGGTTAGAGTGTTTGGCTAAACCTTACAAGGAGATAAAGGTAAATGTAAAGTCTTAAACTTGGATTTTTTTTTAAATCAGCATTATAAACATTAATTAATGCAAATTTTATGCAATTTCAAATTAATGCAATTTCAGACTACATGAAAAGAGACATGCTGTCCAGAAAAAGAGAGATTCTATCATCACTTGCCCTTAATGAAGCACATTTACAGTATTAGATTCTGTTCTGGATTCCACCTTTAGAAAATATTTTGATAAGTTAGAGAAAACCCAGAGGAAGGTGACTAGGATGGTGAAGAGACAATCATATGTAGACCAGTAGAAGGAACTGCATATGTTTAGCCTGGAAGAAGACTTATTGGGATTATAGCTATCATCAAAAACTTGAAAAAGAAGACTGTCATGAGAAAGAGGAATTCAATTTGCTTTACTTGGGCCCAGAGGGTACCCAAGCATTGGTTGAAAACCAGAGACAAATAAACTTAATGTAGGGAAGAACCTTCTGACAATTATAAGGCTGTGCAAATTCCTTGGGACAAGCAGCAATTTTGATATGGTTTCATTCTGTGATGGCTACAGCTATGTATGTGCACTTCTACAATGCCTATTCAACATGTCTGGTCTTGACCAGGTGAAATTAGATTGATCTGGTTTCCCCACCTTATTACTTTTCTGTCAGTTGACTGTTGGATTTTTGTGCCATATACATGTATTTCATGGTTCTCTTTTTTGTGTGTTTTTAATTCTGTAGTTTTTAAAAATGGATTTTTGGGAAGGAAATGTGAAAAAAAAGAAGTTGTAGTTATCAAGGAGTATACTTCAATGACTGTTAGAGATATTGCAATGACTATTGGTGTGGAGAAGTCAAGCATTTCAAGGATCATTCAAGCCCACAGTGAAACTCTCAGTGCACTGAAGAACAAGGAAAAATGTGTTCTAAACAAAAAATGTCAAAACCCAATATTTTCAGCACAGTATAGTGAAAAACTACCTAATTAATCCTCAGAATTAATTCTAAAGGGCAGCTAGGTGGCACAGTGGATAGAATATCAGTCCTGGAATCAGAAAGAGTCATCTTCCTGGGTTCAAATCTGGCCTCAGACACTCAGACACACAGCGAGCAAGCTGTGTGACCCTGGGAAAGTCAGTTAACCCTGTCACCTTAGTTCCTCATCTGGAAAAATGAGCTGGAGAAGAAAATGGCAAACCACTCCAGTATCTTTGCCAAGAAAACTCCGGATGGGGTCACAAAGAGCTGGACATGACTGAAATGACTGAATAACAACCCTCAGAAAACAAAGACCACTGGAGGGACCTGTCACAGGGTGGAGTAGACTTCTTGAAGTTGAAAGATCAGCTTAGAAGACCAGTTAAAAATATGAAAAACCGCTATTAACCATCGCTATGAAGGAGAAAACTTGGCACGGGCAATACAAATAGAAGGATACTAAAGATTGGGAAGTGGTCCATTTTACGTTCAATACTGCACCAAACTATCATCAGAGGTAGCAGATGAATCCGTATGAGCTGAGCATCTTCGTGACATTATAAAGCATCCGCTCAAAAATTCCTTGGGGGTTTTTCATTTCCAGTGGGCTTGGAAGGCTTATCCGAGCCCTGATAAACGTCTTGATATACTGAGAAACACAACTGCTCCAGAATTAGAGAAATTCGTGAGTCTGAATACCACCGCATGATTTCGTACCATAACATACATCCTAAAAGGGTTATGAAATTTGTTCAAGAGCTAGAGATGAGCATACTCTCATGACCTGGGAATTCACCAAACTTAAATCCCATTGAAAATTCTAATCAAGACAGTGATCCAAGACAATTCCAAAGGGCGTGATGAAAAATGCTATCTACCTTCAGAGAGACTACTGACGAACTCCGAGTGCAAACTGGGCTATATAATGTAAGGCCAGAGTTTGAAAAATGGAGTGTTCATCAAAGGTTTGCTGACTATCCATTGAGATATTGGTTTCATATTGAAGGATGAAAAATGTGTCAGATTCATGAAGACTCAATTCCAAAACATGTACAACAAGTAAATGAAGCAAATGGATGACGTATTACATATTAAAAGTTTATTTTAAAAATGTAAAAATTTAAAAGATTTGTTGTATGTCAAGACACTGAATTATTTTACTTTGGCCCGGTTAATTCTCACACCTATTTACAACTATCTGAAAGTTGAATGGGCTGCCTGAGAGGGTGATGAGTTCCCTCCTCACTGGCAGTTTACGAACAAAGCCTGGATAACCACTCGTTCGGAATGTTGCAGAATGAAGTATTTTCTAGTCATTCTTTCAATAAACCAGGCCGTGGAGATACAAATTTTTAAAAAATGGAAAGTAGTCTCTACTCTAAAGGAACTGTTACAGTCAAAATAAGGTAAACGGAGACACAATGTTCAAAGCACAATGTATTAGTAAAGTAAATTTGCCAATAGATAGGATTTCAGCTTCCTCAGCAAAGCTAAGACACCAAGGCAGAGAATGACTACCCTTTTTATAGTTTTTAGGAAAGTGCACAACAAAGAATAGGACTTTGTAAGTTATGATTGGTTAAAAGAACTTGAATGGCAAAATCAATATGATTGGTAACCAATCATAATTGGTAACCAATATGATTGACTACAGAGCTGAGGAATGGGAGACAACATGATTGGTTGGAAATTGGGAGTGAGGGGCTAACAACAATATTCTCCTTCCCTCCTATGACTAAGAGGTTTGAATCCACCTGCAAGGTTAGAGATAATGGATGAGGCTTCTTTGGATAACAAATCAGATTTCCTTGAAGGATAACTTGGTAGTGTACAGATACTAGAACAGACTCCCTGGTGCCTACCTGCATCCCTCAATTATAACAGATTTTCTTGAGGCAACAATAGAATGATTAGCAGGAGAACTGAGCCTCTAAACAACTCATTACAGGCCAGCTAAATTTCTGAATTTAAGTTCAGAGACAAAAAATCATGACTTGGGCAGTTACAGGGAAGTGAAATATATATATTTATAAGTAAATGCAAAATACAAACAACATCAGTACAAAATAATTTCCCTGGAGGAGGCCACTGGTGATCGGGGAAAATAGGAATAGGTATAGTATATAAGGGGTGACTTAAAACGGGATCTGAAGGCATCTGGGACTTTTATTACTCAGAAAGGAAGAAGGAATATATTCCAGGCATGGGGGACTCCTGTCTATGTGCTCCTATAAATCTTCTGATAAATATATATGTGTGTGTGTGTGGGTGTGTGGGTGTGTATATATATATATATACATATATGTATATATATATATATATACGTATATATGTATATATATATACATATATATACACGTATATATGTATATATATATATATACACGTATATATGTATATATATATACGTATATATGTATATATACGTATATATGCATATGTGTGTGTATATGTATGTATATATATAAATACTATATATAAAAAAATCTATAAATCTCTGAATCTTATGTGGGTATACTACATTGGTACCCACATAAGAGACTCAGAGGTGGATCCCATAAAGCTGTTCATCTGGTATAGTTCATTTTCAGTACTTGACCAGCCTTCCTCACTTTGCAGTCGTCATACATCTTTTTGATGATATCTTATTTATACCTGCTCGGTGTCTCTTCAAGGCTCTTTGGGTGACCCATAATGTTGGTCCTTTAGAGACTGTGCTATTCCATATCAGCTTGAATCATTGAACTGCTTTTGCTGCCGCTCGACATAACTCCAAACTTTAGTGATTCATGTGCTTTGTAAAATTTTCCTTTGCAAACTTGTTAACTTTGCCTTGTATACTTTGTAAAGTTAGATCTCTATCTGGTAATATGATCTGAGTGGAAAAACCTCTAGTGCACAGATTTCTGGTGCCATCATAGGTTTGCAAGTGATGGAACAGGGTCTTCTTATAGACTTTCAAGAGTGAGAACCTAGTCATTCCTTAATCCAGGCTTCTGCAGGTGCTGCTGCTATTGCTCAGGTCAAAAACCTATACAAGGCTAGAAATAATAGGATTTAGAGCTGAAGGGGACCATAAAGATCAATTAAATTGAAATTTTTAATCTTTTTTGTGTCATGGACTTCCTTTAGCAGTCTGGTAAAAACTATGGACTAATTCTCAGAATAATGCTTTTAAATCCATAAATAAAATGTATAGGTAAGCAAGGCAATTACATTGAAACACAGTCATCAAGTTTTATATATATATATATATATATATATGTATGTGTGTGTGTGTGTGTATGTATCTCTCTCTCTCTATATATATATGTGTGTGTGTGTGTGTGTGTGTGTGTGTGTGTGTGTGTGTGTGTGTGTATCTGATCTATTCCAAGACCTTCATTTTGCAGATGAGGAAATAGAAGACAAGAGAGATGAAATATCTTACCTAAGGTCACCAAAATATCAAGTGGCAGAGCTGGTGGTCTTTCCACTACACTAATCTTGTGATTCACCCTTGAGTACGCAAAGTTTGAGGGAAAGGAGAAGGGGAGGGGCAGCATGGAGGGAAAGACAGGTCTCTGAAAGTTACAACTTTGCAGAAAGAAATGGGAAGTCTCCATGATGGAAAATGCTATCTACATCCAGAGAAAGAACTACGGAGTCTGAATGCAGATCGAAGCATCCTATTTTCACGTTGTTTTTTGTTTTTCCCTTTTGTTCTGATACTTCTTTCACAACATGACTAATGTGGAAATATGCTTAACATGAATTGTACGTGTATAACCTATATCAGATTGCTTGCTGTCTTGGGGAGGGGGAAAGGAAGGGAGGGAAGGAGAAAAATTTAGAACTCAAAATCTTACAAAAATGAATGTTGAAAACTATCTTTACATATCACTGGGAAAAAATAAAATACTATTAAGTGCAAAAATAAAAGAAGGGGAAGTCTCAAGTCACTTTTTTAGGATCTGGGTATTTTTAGGGGGATTGTTCTCAGTCTTTAAAATTCTCTATACTGGTAAAAAGTCTTGAGAAATCAGGTCTAATAATTTACTATTTCCCTAATAGTACAGGGCGTCTACCATGGATATTAACATGTCAAAGCCCCAGATGATTAGCCCTTGGGATAAGAAGAAAGTTCAGTCTTTGTGACCTCGTGATCTCTTAGAGACTATGAGTAATATGTGATTTAACACATTCCATGAGGCTCTAGCTTATATAGAAAAGATTAGAGATTCCCCAAAAGACTCAACAAGTCTCTTTTGTCAGAGTTCACAAAGAGATCCAATGTTTTTAAAAACCAAATTAAATAGAGACCAGAAAAAATATCCCCTTATTGTGGCCTAGCTTTATGAAGACGATGATGCCTATGAGTGATAGTCAGGATCCCTGAGCCTGTCCTACTCTCTCAATCTCTAATCTGGCTCTGTGTCAGAATCATAGGATGTTAGAGCTGGAAGAGGACTTGGAGATTGTTGAGTCCGAACCCCTGACCTGCAAGACGAGGAAACGAAGGCCCAGCATTTAGTCACATAATGCCATTTATCCATTTAGGGGGAGATAGATAGATATGTAGAGATATGTATAGATATGGCTGTATTCTAATTAGTATTATCACTGCATATATCTGTGTGTAGCTTTTAAAAAAAAAAAAAGAGGGCCGGGTTCTTGCCCTCAAAGATGTTACAATGAAAGGAAAGGAGGCTAGGCACGGTGACAGGTACAAAAAAAAATGCCTACATATAGCAATGT